CACACCTCCGGGCACACCTGCAGCACACCTGCATGCACACCTGCAGGCACACCTGCAGACACACAACAGCTTTTTTCAGTCACATTAAAAGACTGAAAGCACATTTTGTTGTGTTATTTATTGGATAACTGGAGGACACTGAATGGACTCTAATTAGAAGCTTCCGCACTCTTAAACCTTTATTACAGAAAATGTCCCCACAATGTCAGTTGTAATTTGTGTCCTCACAGTGGTGGTAAACAGGCACAACTCACACACACACAGGTGTGTCCTGAGCCTTCAGGTGTTCATCATGTCTCTCCTCCTTGCAGTTGGTGTCATCAGACACCTGCCAGCTGGATTTCAGAGGTTCAGATGTCCTGTCTGTGGCCACGCCCACCAGTTTAGCCCCGCCCCCTATAGAGAGGACAGGTGGTATCGGAGACTCCAGACCGCCATCCTTCCAGTGAGTACACCGAGGCCCAGAATGCAACACGTGTTGTAGCGCAGGCCTCAATGCTGACAGGAAGTGATGTCATGTCTGTTTCAGTGCTGCTACTGTGAGCCATGATGAGCTGCAGGGGTCAGAGGTCAAACCTGCTGTTTCAGAGAGGCTGCAGAGGAAAGATGTGGGTGAGCAAGGTAAGACGCGGAGAGAGAGAGGTGTCACCTGCACACCTGTTAAACAGTGACAGGCATTTCCTGCCATCTGCTGATTGGCTGTGGTCTCTACAGGTGATCGCCTGAATGGCCACGCCCACTGCCCAGCTGATGAGAGGGGGGTGGAGCCAACAGGTGGTGGCGACAGTTCATCGACCCAGCAGAGCAGCGAACTGGAAACAACCAGTTTCTGCTCGTCTGAGGAAGACTCAGGAGGAAGGTGAGTCTCACTCACAGACACGCCTACCTGTACCTGTGAGGACCCTCAGTGAACTCTGACCTCTCGATAATGCTCATGATCAGCAGGTTAACATTTTCCCTCTGCTTTAAGTATGTGAGGTAAGCTCATGACATCATCAGCAGACCTCGCTGTGATTGGTGGGTTTGCTATGACACGCACTCGGCGCCCTTGGGTCTGCTTCTTCTGCTCCAGTAATCCTGTTCACACGCCGCTCTCCTTCTCTTGCTCTGATTGGCTGCTGCAGGTCAGGTGACTAGCGCTGCGGTCTGTATTGTCCCGCAGATAAAAGCGTCCCAGCTCATCCATGAGCAGAAATAATGTGTTCCCGCCTCCGTCCGTCCGTGTTTGCAGGTTTTCTCTGGATTTCAGATTTTTTTATTTTTAAATTTGAGCCTTTTATGAAACCTCGCTCACAGGTATGTTCATGTCACTCTGCTTTTAATGATCATAGAAACAATAATGTGTTTATTTGGACTCTGTGAACAAATGATGTTTGTTTTGATGACTGTTGTTAAACTTTCATCAATAATTTTGAGTCATTTTACTCATTTTTAATATTGATGATGATAAATAACAGCGACGACTTTTATTCTCACTTTTTATTCATTTTATTAACATAAAATCAGAACAGACGTTTCCAAAAACAGTGAGTTTATGTCCAGTGGAGGTAACAAGCCCTCGGCGCAGCGGTGATGCTCTGTGGCGTGAGTCGTGACACGCTCGTTTCCCAGATCCTCACCAGACACAGAAATTAGTTTGGCGAGGAAACGTTTCCCCCTGAGAGCCGACTGAAGCTCAGCCAGCGAGGCTCGATGTACGGCAGCGTGGCCCAGCTAAGCCAGCGTTCGGGATACACACTCACAAACACATATACACGTAAAGGGGGAAACAGGGGACTGAGAGACAACAAACAACAGATCGAAGTGAAGGCGCCTGTTTGTGCGTCCTTTAACACATCGTTCACGTCGAGCTTTTTCCTGTTTGTTTGTACAAATATTTACATTTTTTCTTTAATTTTTCCCGCCTGAGTGACCACGCCCAACCAGTCGCACTGAGCCAGCTGTGCTTCCCTCTGTGACATCATTTCAGGTTCAGCCAATCAACAGAGCAGAGCAGCTCCTC